TCATCATAATCACCCGGGGCAGGCTACAAAAGGCCAATCAGTGGCCGCCGTGCCGAGTGGACCCAGTTGGACTCCACCCCCCACTAAGAGAATTAAAAAAAACAATCGGCTGTAAGGGAGGAAAGGTTCCTATGCTCTTGGGCCCATCTCAGTATTCTGAGAAGAATACGGGTATGTATATTCAGTTAGGTCCTGGTATTGTGAGATAAGATTAGAAATCTTATCTCCTCTTGATAACTGTAGTTGCAAGACAGGCCGTATGGAGGCGCGCTGTGCCCAGCGATTGAGCTGCTTCGTTCTGAGGGCCTGACAGAGCAGGAACATGTCCTCCCTTACAGCTAGTTCCTCAAATTTCTCGTTTCAAATGATGATAACAAAGAAACCTCAAACACGTGAAGAATGTCAAAATTTGAGATTGCTGGGTTTTTGGACTTTGTCCATTGTCCGGTATTCTGAAGAACACGGCGTTTCGGAAAGTGGATCGGTTTTCCGAAAAGTTGTGTTTTTTCGAATACCTGACGACAGACAAAGTAAAAGAAACCAGCAATCCCAAGTGTTGCACACCATTGTCTGAACCCGTTAGAATCTAGAATGCCAATCTGGGGTCATGTTTACTGACAATTTGTATGTGTTTTAGTTCTACCCGAATTCTTTACGTGATAACGAATAACTGAGCCGGACTGATTGATTGATCGACCCATCGATCGATCGGTGGATTTAAAATCCACTCCACTTCACTAGTTATTAGTGACCGTCACCCTATTACATGTGTCAAAAAACTGAAACATTAAACTATAGCTACACTAAAATTTGGTAGTGACATGACTTGTACACCATTCACTATAGTCATTCCGCCATGACTTGGTCGCCACAGTGGGATCTCACGTGGGGATGAGGTTAGCATCACTGCTAACATGCTACCCCCTTGTATCCCGTTCTACTGTATTAGCTGTAATGAGTGGCAGGTCAGAAGGTGCGTGTAAAGGAAGGGCTGTCCGCAACCTGCCCGTCCGGGGCTTCTAACTTCATATTCATTCACGTTTTGCTTCCCAGCTCCATGGAATTAGTTCATGTTTTCATTTATCTTAGAACGGGCACTTGTTTAAGGGTTTCAATGCGACATTTTGTTTGTTTTGAAGTTTCCTCAGAAGCACGTGGTTTCAAGCCCTTCCACATTTATTTAAATGCGGAAGTGTACGGACTGGATTGAGCTGACTTAGGATAGTGTCTGATGGCGGTCCCTGTTGA